GTTCCCGGGTTGTCTGGTCCAAGGAATACTGAGGCCAGGTTTGATTAAAAGGAGTGGTCAGAGGGTGTCCAAACGACATCCCAAAGGGGGCAAGGAGGTGTAGACACAGTTTCCAAGGATGAGGCAGAGGAAGATTGACTGGGCACAATGACTGAGGGAGAGAAAGAAGAGCCAAAGGCCTGAATACGCTGGCGTCCCAGGGATCCAGGGAGGATCAGATTGAGTGGGCACAAGCTGTTTCAGTATGTCGTCACACAAGAACAGGGGCCAAGGGCTCTGAGCCCCAGAGACACACCGCTGCCTGGCCCCAGGACTTGACAAGGCCAAAAGGCGAGAGAAACCATGCTCGAGAGACGAGTCCTCACTGTGGGAAATGGCCAGAGGTGGAGAAGAGGGGCCTCACCAACCATGCCGGTGTTGGATGAGAGGCCCTGTATTCAGGCATCTGTACTGGCCTGCCCCGGCCTTCCGGGATATATCCTCAGCTGTAGCCACTAAGAGCATCTCCTGTGCACAGAGAGTGGGACGTACTTGTCTCTGCCAGTTGGTTCATATGAATTAAAAAGAACCAGTTTGTAGAAAACAGGTCTGCTATGCTGCACTGTTCAAGTCCAAGGCTTGGCTGGGATGAGTGGGCAGTGAGGAAGTGTAGAGCTGCTTGTGCTGGGGACAGTAGGATGCCTTTTAAGTAACCTGCTTTAACACCAAAGTCTGAGCAGTGAGCAGAGCTACTAAGCCAGATGCTAGAATGTATGAGAACGCAGAGTTGGGACTGTTAAGGACAGGAAAGGGTCACTATTTAAAAATCACAAGGCTTGAATGGCAGAATTTATTATGCAATGTCAGGAGGCATAAAGATAGGCTACCCACCAGCAGTCCTCAGATTCCAGAAGCATCCTTTCTCAGGACTATCAGGAAGCAGAATGTAGAGCTCCATCCCTGTAGGTAGCGAGTGCCCTCTGCTGGGCATCTTTAAGTAAGGCAACACGGCCCTTAACTTCAGTGCAAGCTGATCAGGACCAACCTTGCCTGGTGGTACATGAACTTTTGGGGCTGAGGTATGGGGCAGAGTGAGCGTGTATGTGGGGTGGATGGACGTTTGGAGAAGCGAACTGGGAACAGGGGAGGGCTGAGACGGCATTTGTGAATCAGTGTCTAATCAGTTTGAGGCCTATTTTACCCTTGTAAGCACAACAGCGAAAGACTAGAATGGCATTTACAGAATCAAAGAGGTTCCATTCTAGAAGGCAGTTAATGAAAAGGCTTGATCTGAAGTGGAAATACATTGTGTTTTCTGGTGGGAACTCTTTTGGTGTTGAGCGCAGTTTCAGATGTTTGGTCAAGGAACAATCATTCAACGACTAATGCCCTGCTCTGATGAATGACACTAAACCCAGCAACAAAGAAAAATACAAACGAGCACAGGCCAGAGTCCCAAATGCCTTAGCCATTCCTATGCAGACTGTTGTTTGCTAGCCGGACTCTCTACTAAAACTGCCTTCTAAGGTCCTGGACTCATTCACTTACCCCCAAAAGAAGAAATTGATTACTATCAGACTAGTCCTGGGTAACCTGAATGCTGAAACTAAGTTAACATTGTATACACAATAGGTTGATTTTAATTGTGTTTCAATGGGTGCTAGCTGATTTTTATGTAAGCTTGATATAAACTAGAGTTATCTGAAAGGAGGGAGCCTCAATGGAGAAAATGCCTCCATAAGATTAGGCTGTGGGCAAGCCTATAGGGCATTTTCTTAATTAGTGATTGATGGGGGAGGGCCCAGCCTATGGCCCGACCCGCCGTAGACTGGGCCACCCCTGGGCAGGTTGTCTTGGGTTCAATAAGAAGGCAGGCTGAGCAAGCCATGGAGAGCAAGCCAGTAAGCAGCACCCTTCCAGGTTCCTATCCTGCTTGAGTTCCTATCCTGGCTCTTTCAGTGATGCACGGTGATAAGTAGAGGCCAAATAACCCTTTTCTCCCCTAAGCTGCTTTTGGTCACGGCATTTCATCACAGCAATAGTAACCCTAACTAAGATACAATGTCAATTTTTAGGACTACAGAAACCATTCTGTGGGCTGTCATTTGTCTCTGTGTCTCTGTGTGACCAAGTGCTCTGTGTTCTAACCTTTCCACACAGGCAGAGTCAGAACAGCAGTTTCCCAGCATGGCCGATGTGGTCGCATGCTTTTATAACTTGGTTTGTGTCTGTCCTAACATTATTAGGAATAGGAGTGTCACGATTATTTGTTAGCCATATTTTCTTTGTTGCAAAATCTAGTAACTGGTGTGGGATCTGTTCATTCAAGTCCAACATTAATATGGTGCTGCTCTCTGAATTCTTTACTATTTGTCCCAGCAATCCTTGCTGAAGGGACTCTATCCTGCCCAAGCATGGCAAACATAGCTCCAGCAGGCCTTGTCCTTCTCTCCCATTCCCTCTGCCATTAGATTACATTCTTGAAGCTAGCCACCAAGTCTATTCCCTTATTTATCCACTTCCTCTTCCTGAGACTAATTACCAAGGTTCAGCCAACAAAGTCTTGAAATCCAGCAATCAAAAGCCCCCTTTGGCTTACCTAATTAATATGCTCAATAAACATTAAACACCTCATCCTAACACAGGGTTTCCCTTTTGCCTTTTTAATCTCCATTTTCCAATGCCCCATGTTTTGTCTCCTCTTTATCCAGAGGCAGTCCTTTGTCCTGGGCAAATACCCCTTCCCCTCTCCCTTGTTCCCTTCCCCTTCTTCCTCATCCTCTAGCTGCTGTTTTTGTCTCTTATTCTCTGCCCTTTATATCTTTAGAGAAAATAAATCTCCTCTGTGCTGAGAACTTGTTCTTGGGGGTCCTTCACTATCTTCCATACAGGTCTGCTTTCTGAGCCAAGGAAGAAGGAGGAAGCAGCACTTAACTGCCAAGACCAGTACACACATTCAGGCTCATCACAGAAACAAGTTTCCCGTGTAAGTGAGAGAAGCCACACAAAGAGCCCACTCTGGCAAACAGTGAAAATGGAGGTCACGGCAATCCTTGGTAGCACATAAACAAAAGGTTTCCAGGAGGTTTGGGGTCATGTTAACAGATGTTTCTTACTTCTCCATTTTCTGCTTGGCTTTGTCTCTAGTTGAGGATTATGCTAACACACACACACACACACACACACACACACACACACACAGGTATAGGTACAGGGTTAGGTACATGTAATTCCTGCTTCTTGGAACCACAGAAGACAAATAGGTAAGTAAACTACCAACACTAACTAGGTAGAAAGGTGCCAAATGCTGAGGAGTACAGGGTGCTATAATGGCATATAAGTGGGGGTTCCTGCCTTATTCTGGGTGGTTAGGGAAGGCTCACTTTCCAGGAGAGAAATGGGATTTCAGCTGACATTTCTTGTAACAGCCAAGATGAAGGGTAGGGATGGTAAGGGAAGAACATTCTAGGAATGTTGTTAATTTAGAGAACAGCATTGCGCAGGTGCAGAAAGAGAAAAGAAAATGCGTGTGATGAGAGCCTGGAGAGCTGGGTGGGGCCAACATCACCTTCAGGTACATCAGTATGGTTGGGGGCAAGCTGGAAGGAAGAAATAAGTCTGCTATCAGAGTCAGGATCCACACTCATCTCTTCCCCTCCAACACCTCCTCTCCTTCCCTCCAACTTCATGTGTTCTTGTTTAAACTCACTGAGTCATGGTAGCCTCTCAGGGACCATATCCCCATCTCTGAAGAAAATTGACTCCCCTTCCACCAGCAGCCCTCTATTCCCAACACCTTCTCCAAGAGAGGTGGCATGTTTTTGAGCATCTATAGAAAGGAGAAGTTTTAAAGAGAGTCCAACCTAGTAGCTCTTAGTGTTGTCTACCCTCCCCAGGTTCCTTGTGGGACTTTATGTGGGGTGATTTTTTTTATGTTTGATGGTGATGGTGGTGTTGCATTGTACATGGAGGTCAAAAGTGCCACAAAGCATGCCACGCAGGACAGCCTTGCCTACAGGGGAAGATTTCACACTTGAAAGCATGTTTCTGGTCATTCATGTAAGTGAAAACCTTTCCCTGAGCCTAGGACTTGCACAATCATGTTCATATGGCTCTAACATGTGGTAATTCTAGGAATCTAACTACAGCATAACAAAGAGAAAAATCATCCTGGGTTTCACTCACAACTTTTGTCAAAAAGCATTCAACACTTCAGATCGCACTTTTGTGATTTTTTTGAAAACACTAGCAAAAGGCAGTGGCAGTGACAATGGCAAGAATATATATGTCATTAGATCAAAGTAGTGTTGTTACTATGAATTATATTCATGTATCCGTACAAACGTATTATTTGTGGATCTCTAGGCTAATTATCTTATCTTGGGCTAACTTTAGCACCCAGAACAGCCATTCCTTCCCCATCCTTGTGTCAGAACTAACATCCTCTGCCTATGAAACTCCTTCCACTTTGGACATGAAATTTGAGGTAACCTAAATCTGTGCTCCTGGGCCATGATCACTCAAATTTGGTTCCAGAACAAACCATCTCCTAATCCCTTTAAGGTGTCAACCAGCAGGTAGTTACAAATTTCATGCTAAGAACGAAAGTGGTTATTGTATTATTTGTGCTGATTGAATCCGGAGTGACAGATTAGCACTGTACCACTAAGCTACATCTCCAGATTCAGCTTCCAGAACAGCTGCGAAGAAAGCCCAGCAGGCCCGCATGACATTACGTAACATTTATTTTTACAGTGGACAGTGGTTCCTCCAGCCTGTGACGCACTGGCACAGTCCACCTGCTGGCACCTGCAACTTTACCAAGACACAAGCTCGGGCGGCCTTTCTCGGGTGGGTCTGTCCAGGTCCCCAGGAGTATCGATCTCAGGCGTCACATCCCACTGACCGACCCAGAAGAAGGGCCTGAGCCCTAGGGGACAGAGGGAAACCGCAGAGGCCGGGCGGGGCACCCCAGGGAGAGGGCAACTGGTGGCGGGGCGGGCCGGGCCTGTGACGCACTTCCGGTCGCGCCGCGGGTCGTGCGGCGCAGGTGAGTGCGGACTCGCTGCTGCGGTGAGCGGTGTCCTGGCGGTCCTCACGCAGGGTCTCCCGCAGCCAGCCTTGCGGCCCACCACGTCTCGGTGCCCACGGTGGCGACGCGTGTGTGGCGGGCCGCACGCCAGGTCCAGAGCGCTTAGCAGGTGGCCGGTCGGAGGAGCTGTGTCTCTGCAGCCCGAGGGTGACTGCGGTGCGGGGACGAAGCGGCTCGAGGTGACATCGCCAGTCTTTGGACGCACTGCATCCCGGCAGGCGCTTCAGGTGTGTACAGCGTGTCCCCGGGCTCCAGACAGGGTGAGGGGCACGGGGCGCTGCAGGAAAAGCAGTACCCCCTTCCCAGACACTGGTGACAGGAGGCTTGAGGCCTGCTCTGCTGCATCGACGTCAGGCCCCAAAGGTAACGCGGCTCACACACGCACACACGATGACGACATCGCTAGAATACACACAGCGTGGTTTCAGAATTGATGTTTCATAGCCGGTAGAAGACAGGTCTCTTTGGTCATTACCGTAGTCAAAATACTATTTTTCCAAGGTTCTTGTGTGCGTGCGTAGGTACGTGTGTGCGTGCATCTGTCTGTCTGTCTGTCTGTCTTCGGTCATGACACCTATGAGTAGCCAGTTAAGAAAGTGTTTGGGTCCTTACTGCGGCATCCAATTGGTTCTTCACCAGATTCTTCCACCGTTAGAGGTAATAACTCTTGAATTCTGTGTTAATCACAGCCTGTTTCTAAAAGCGTATCCATATGCACTAATATGTACACAATTTAACCTGTTTTTTGGTTTTTAAGCATCTCAGTGTACAGTCGCCTGGTCCTTGGTTAATTTCTAAATTCATGGTTGTATTACCTGCTGGGTAATACTCAATTATAAAAACAATACAGAAACTTGCATTTTCAATGGACAGGTAGGTTGTTTTCAGGCTGGTTATGTATAAAAAAATAGAACTCGTAGTGAATATTTTGTGCATATCTCCTGTATATGAGAATAACTATAGGGATACATTTCCAAGTTTTATTCTTTGAGGATTTCATACACGTATACAATGCATTTTGATCATTTTAACCCCTCAGATCTTACACCCTTATGGTATACATTTTTAAAATTAGATGTGAATATTGATTTTTTTCAAACACTTTTGGCATAAAGGTGTTAATAATAGAGTCGTTGTCTTCAAATTGAATTACATATTTTTGTTATAGAATAAGTTGTGTTTTTAAATACTGAAGAATATTAAGAAAAAGTAGTTATTAATATCATGCACAAAAAAACAAAACAAAACAAAACAGAAACCCTTTAAAAATCTGTAAAGAATAAGATAAAATCGATCTGGTCAGTTAAACATACAATAACAAAACCAGAGCTTATTAGGAGGGAAAGTGTGAGCAGCACCAATATATTATAAATAATTATTTCATCAAAGACAAATCACAGTTACTGAGCTCTAATAGAAATTAAAATGTAGAACATGAGAATCTCTGAGCCAGAGGAAAATTTATGGCCAGGTAGCTTTTAATTGTCCAATAAGAAATAATGAAAATAATTCCTGTAACTTGAAGAAGGTAGAAAAAAATTAAAATTCCTTGTGTAGTCTAGGTTTTTCCAGATGCAGAACATGGGATTAAGGTTTTTTTTTTTTATGGGAATTTAACTATGAATGTGCTCACCTGCAGAGTGAAGGACAAGAGAGCAAAATAGAAAACAAAACAAAACTACAGACAAGGGCCAGTTGAGCAAAGAATGATTTAACAGTTGGGCAGTCTGTGACACCACGACGACTTGCGGGACTGGGGATGCCACGGGGCTGGACATTGTAGACGGGAAAAGGAGGTGCTTACTGAACATCCGGCTGGGTCACTGTGTGCCTGGTGTTTGCCTTATTTCAATATAGTTTGACCAGCCTGGCCAGTGTGATTGACTGAGATTGTTCCTAAGTTAGGTTTTGCATTTGTTTCCATACTGAGTTGGGTTGCAATTCTGTACAGGTAAGAACTCAGATATATGAGTAGGGAGGCTTTCCTGGGCCAAATTAGTTTATAAGTTAATAAACCAATACAAGGTTGCCTTGTCAGGCTTGGCCCTCAACAGGTTCTGTCTTGCAGGGTCTCCAAGGAGCCTTGGAATCTCAAGGATGCCCTTCTAGGGCTAATGGGATAACAGTTACCTGTCAAATTCTGTTCCCTGTTGGCCACGGGTGGCCTCACTGATGTTTACTTGCCTGCAGTTCAGGGCTCAGTAGGTATCTCACACAGAATATGGGAAGCCCTAGGCAGGAATGAGGTATATATGGTATAGCTCCTGGTGCAGGCTAGTCTCCACCTATGAGAACCGTACAAAGCCTCCATTTGGCATGTCTGTGATGCAAAAGTGGACCGTTCAGATTGAGACTGAGAGGCAGCCTACTAACTCACCTCTAAGGTTCTCAGGGTTAGCTTAGGCCATGCAGGAAGCCAGCCTACTGAGACCTGCCTGCACAAAAGCCTTAGCCCAGGCTGGCCTCAAGCTCTGATTCTCCTGCCTCTAGCTCCCCTGTGCTGGGATTATGGGTATGCATCATTGCTCCTTGCAAGCATTAGAATTCTTGATACTTATGAATGAGAGCACTGAGCTGGGTAGTGGTGGTGCACACCTTTAGTCCCAGCACTCGGGAGGCAGAGGCAGGCGGCTCTCTGTGAGTTTGAGGCCAGCCTGGTCTACAGAGTGAGTTCCAAGACAGGCTCCAAAACAATACAGAGAAATCCTGTCTCAAAAAACCAACTAACTAAAGAAATAAATAAAAGACTTGGCAAATCAGAGGCTTCTTGGGAGCCAGCTTTAGAGCATCAGTGTCCTGGGAAGAGTACCAGGCACTTGAGCCAGCCACAGGATCACACTTTCTCTGACAGCTCCTGTTCCTGTCTGGGTACCAGCTGCCTGTACCTCAGGTGGCTTGCCTCACTTCTCACCCCAACCTTCTGTTTCTCCTCAGCTCCGGCCCTTCCTTGAGAGAGACCAGGTGATGGCAGCCATGATCCCGTCAGTTTGGCCCCAGGTGAGCTGTGGGTCCCTCATCTCTTCCTCTGGGCAGTTCAGATTGAGAACTGAGAAGAGACCTGGTGAGACTGGGGATAAAAACCTGCTTCTGCCTGCCAAGCTGGATCTTGTGGGGAAGGTGGACAGGCAAGTGGCAGAGACTGGGGCGCTGACCAGTGAAGGCAGCAGCAAAGTGAGCGTAGCAGAGGCAGTCACTCAAGGGTCTCTGCCACTGCACACCAGCACCTGGCAGAGGGATTTGGGGAATGGGGCAGTGGAAACCACCCATGTGTGTTCTTTGCATGAATACAAACGGAGGGGCCGCAGAGGTTTGGGGTGACTAATAGCTGGGGTGGGAGAAGACGAAGAGCTGCAGATGAATGAGAAGGATGGCTGTCTCTGAGGAGGAGGGATGGGGAAGATGATGGGAAGTGGGAGCAAGGAAGCAAAAGACAGGAGACCTGGGCCCTTGGCTGGGGTCTATGTGGGGAGTCAGGTGGTAAGTGGGATAGATGCCCCTGGTGGGGTGGGAGCATCTGTTTTAGCAATGAGGATGAGGGTAATGAGTGGAGGAACTAGGGGGTGGAGGTAAGCCACGGAGGAGCCAAGATCTCACAGGGATGCGTGGGAACTGCAGATGCCTCCAACCGTCTGCTAATGAGGGAGTAGCCCAAGAGCAGAATTGATGCAGCGTAATTTGCTTACGGGAATTCTTTTTCTTTCAGCCCAGTGTGAAAATGGCATGCGGATTCTCTGCTGTAAGGAAGGCGGATATTCCATAGATTATTTCCTGGTGTTTTTTCCTCCACTTTGTTACTAATTTTGTTCTCTTCACAAGCTCCCTCCCCAAGCCCTTATTTTGCCCTCTGCCCCTCACGTAGGGCCTGAGCCATGGAATTGGCCCTAGGGCAGCAAGAACCTGTTGTTTCAGAAGTTGGTGACCTTTGAGGACGTGGCTGTGTACTTCACTCAGACGGAATGGGATATTCTGTCCCCTGGACAGAGGGCACTGTACAAGGATGTAATGCTGGAGAATTATAGGAACTTGGCCTCCATGGGTAAGGCCTCTCTCCCTGGACTCAGACTGCCATTTTGGGTTTCCTGGCGCTTTTCTTCCTAACAGGTGGCAGGTGGGGATCTGGAACCTTTTATGAGGGGCTTTTTCTAAGCTCCTCGTGTATAGACTGCAAGAAGAGCAAATCCCAAGATGTTACAGGGCTTTGCTGAGAGTAACGGAGCTGTATATTGGGCATGGTGTGAAAGACAGAAGCTCGCTGTTCTATAGAGGCATCTTCAGACTGCCGCCTGCCTTACTTATCTTGAGTCTTTTTAAGACTCCAATGGACTCGGGGTATTTCAGCCCAAGATCAAGAAGTGGTGTCCCTTTTGGGCAGACTCTCCCAGCTTTCTCTGCATGTGGACCATGGCTCACAGTTTGACCCTTCTCACCCCTTTGTGAGAGATCTTACTTTCCTCCCCATTGCTGAGCAGCTCAGAAGTTAGGGATGCACCTGTGGAAGATTTGTCATGTCTCTTCTGTTTCTTTTTCCCAAATCAGGATTTCCATTTCTCAAACCTGCTTTGATCTCACAGCTAGAGGAAGGAAAGGATCTGGAAAACCTGTCTGAGCTGGCCACTGGAACAGACTCCCAGGGCCTCTGGACTGGTAAGCGAGGCACAGATTGCCCAACAACAGAAATGTGTACCACATTTATGCATTATGGCAATGCATTTTTTCCAGGGTGCCATATTCTGTCTCTGATCCCACCATTTTCAAACAAGACTATGGGGGTGGGGATCTAGCGTTGATACTAAAAGTGGAAGATATAGCCTTAACAGCTTTTTACACAGAGGCAGAAGTAGCTAAAAGCTATAGGCTTTTCCTGAGGTATCACCCCATCTGTGTTTGTGAGGAAACTTTTTTTTTTCTAGTTACATGATTGAGCAGGTCAGTTATTTGAGGTCTCTATAGTCTAGTGATCTCATCTCTGAAATGTGATGAAAGGCAATGGTACCTTATCACTCAGCGGGCTCAGGACTAAATGTGATAACACATAGTAAGGGTCTAGCGTAGTTAAATTATAATTATCTATACACTGAGAGTATAAATAAAAAGTGCCCCCATACCATGCTTCTTGAATGACAATGTGTAAATGATTACTTGGGGTTCTTACAAGTACACAGACTGTCAGTAAGTCTTTAGCTCCGTCAGGTGTCTGTGTTTATATTCATACTGTGAGCTCCTTAATCAAAGGTGTTTGGTTCTCATTCTATAGGCAGCAGCTAGTCTCTTGGTTGGAAGAAAAATGAGACAGACTGTGGGTAGACAAAAAGAGAAGGTAGAGGGCATGAGACTGGTGATGGTTAAACTTGAAAACAAACCAAAGGCCTTTTTATAATTCAGCTCAGTGGTTTCTGTAGAAGTCTTTACTTGCTGGACTTTAGATCCTTCCTGCAAGAGTAGCTGGAAAATATGATTTTAGTGGGCAGATTAGTACCTCAAAAAATTAAATTGACGGTATATTAGTAAAGATGACATAGATAGTGGATATTAACACTGCTATACCATAGGATTTGGAAGATAAGTAATAAATTTGGTAAGGAACTAATAATAAGTGGTTGATCTGCATAAAATGTACAAATATTGGCTGGGCAGTGGTGGTGCACACCTTTAATCCCAGCACTCAGGAGGCAGAGGCAGGCGGATCTCTGTGAGTTCAAAGCCAGCCTAGTCTACAGAGTGAGTTCTAGGACAGCCAGGTTATACAGAGACTCCCTGTGTTTATATTCATACTGAATATAAAAAACAAACAAACAAAAAAACCAAACCAGACCAAGCAAACAAAGAAACCCAAAAGAAAAAAGTACAAATACTAATCAATGTGAAAATATCTATCCTCAGTAGAAAACCAAAGGCAAACAAGTAATAATGAAAGAAGGTTAGGAATGCAAACCCTGTATTTTTAAGTTTCTAGTGCTACAGATGTCTTCATCAGTTTGAACTATTAGAACAGAGTACCATAGATTGAGTGGTTTATAAACAACATTAATTTGTATCTTCCATATGGCTTAGCTTGGGCTGCTATAACAGAATACCTTGGGTGGTTTATAAGAACATAAGTCTGTTCATCCAGTTTTGGAGTTGGACATTCAAGAAGATCAAGGCTTAGGCAGATTCTTTTTGACAAAGACTTGTTTCCTAGTTAATAGGCAGATATCTGTCTTCTTGCTGTGTCTTCATACGGTTAAAGGGAGGACTTTACCAGACCTCCTATAGCACAGCAGTTCCATATATGAGGGCTCTGCCAAAAGTTCTCCTTCCTAATAATGGTCACTTCTTTGAAGTTAGGGCTTTTACAAGTGAATGCTAGAGATGGACAGCAACAAAATTGAATCTATAAGAACAAATACACATACTTTTAATTTAGAAAAGGCTCATATTGTTTTAAAGTCCTTTCTAGAGGAACCTAGGTTTCTATGTTATTGGGAATAATTATAATGAAGTAGCAAGGCAAGTGTATATTTTATTATATTGTTTATTCTTCTCTCTACAATACATCCTAATGACACCTCCACTCCCTCCTCTTAACCTCCTCTCTGCCCCAGATTCACCGCTCCTCCATTTCTCTTCAGAAAAGAGCAGGCCTCCCAGTGACACCAACTGAACATGGCATAACATCATGCAATAAAACTAGATAGAAACCCTCATATCCAGACTGGACAAAGCAACACAGGAAGAAAAGGGTCCCGAGTGCAGGCAAAAGAGTCAGAGACACCCTTGCCCTACTGTTAGGTGTACCACAAAAACTTCAAGCTAAACAACTCCCAAGAGTCTTGCTTAGTTGATTTGGTGGGCTATGCCATCCTGGTGTCTTGACTTCTACAATGCTTCCTCCCCCTCCCCTTGTGGTTCCAGAATATCATTAGGAATCATTTCATTGACTTTTTTTTTTTTTTTGAACAGTCATGTTTGGTTTTACTCATGTCTGTGAGTCATCCAGCTGCTGGTTCCTGACCATCCTGTTGTGACTTGGGCCTCAAGTTGAGCCAGTCGTTGGTTGTCCACTCCCCTAAGCTCTGAGACAGCATTGCTCCAGCACGTCTTGCTGGCAGGACAGCTGTGGGTAGAAGGCTTTGTGGCAGGGTTAGTGTCCTAGTGTCACCCCTGGGACCCCCGTCTGGCTACAGAAGAAGATATTATATGTGGCCGGGGAAAAATGAGAAAATAAAGGAACTTTCTGGGGAGAAACGGAGAGGTTAGTATTGTAAAAATTATGATTATATGCAAAAGAATGTTTGGGAGTCAAGGAAGGGAAAGTTTGTATAGCAGTATTTTAGAGGAGACGGGAAGAGATGCGGTCAGATGGGCCTCAGCAGAGCTTTTCTGAAGCAGAGAGAGAACGTGAAAGAACAGTTTCAGGAAGGCTAGAGTGAAACCCTCGGGAGACAGATAGCCCAGCTCTCCTTTTGCTCTCTCTGTTGATGCTACAGTCAGGCCTGCAGCACATCATTAGGTCCTCTCCCATTTCTTTCTTGAGCATTCTCTGCTTTTAACAGCCAGGAAGGAGCTGCAGAATGTAGGGCAGCATGGGACAATGGGAAAAATACATATCTGATAGACAAGGCCTAGGGTTTTCTTCCACTGCTACCGCTTTTAACCTTTGTGTTATTGATGTTGCCTTTTGTAGTGGCCTTGCCTTAGGAGAGTATGACTGGGGATCATTTTTGACTGATGTGGTCTCATGTAGCTGAACTTTTACAGAAGTTTCCTAACACAGATACATGTTCTTGTGTACTCTTCTCATTCTTCATTACACAATTAAAATCTCTTTTCTTTGCCATTCTTTTTTTATTTTGAAGTATATCCTGGGCATTTTTTCATGGTCTACATATCTGGATCTATTTCTTTCTTTTACCAATTACAATTACACCTTCTGGATGAACCGTAGGTTATTTGACCTAGTCTACTGATATTTTAAATAACCTTCTAGCAAGGCATGGTGATATACACATCTAATTCTAGTACTTGTGAAGTAGATACAGGGGAATCAATAGTTCAAAGCCAGCCTTACAACATATTGAGACCCTATATACAATAAATAGCTTTCTGACTATTTTCTTCCAGCATGGTTCTATATTACAGCTTTTAATTTTCTACTTCTTTTGATAGAATATACTGCTATCCAGATTGGCAATAATTTGACAAAAGAAGTGTATGAAGAAAAAAAGAGTATGTTATTTGACCTTCAGAAGGACTTTCGCCAGGAAACCAATTTTTCAAAAACTTCTATTGTAGACCAACAACAGGAAATCCACTTAACAGGAAGTGTGAAAGAGAATATCAGTGCCACTAATGGAAGAGTTAAGACAAGCTCTACGGACGGGTATTTATTTAGTCAGACTCCAAATGTGTCTCAGAACCATACCAACTCCATTGAAGAACAATATTCTGATACCAAACTTACTAATAATGAAAAAATTACTACAGCGGGGAGTTCTTTAAAACACAAAGAATTAACAGAAACCTCTCAAGGTAGCTCTCAAGTCAATCAGTTTCTAGAAAGCTCTACTGTGGAGAAGCCTTATCAATGTACAGAATGTGGCAAAGCCTTCAACGTTAAAGCAAAATTTGTTTGGCATCAAAGACTTCATAATGGAGAGAAACCTTTCAAATGTGTGGAGTGTGGGAAATGCTTTAGCTACAGCTCCCACTATATCACGCATCAGACAATCCACAGTGGAGAAAAGCCTTATCAGTGTAAGGTGTGTGGGAAAGCCTTCAGTGTTAATGGAAGTCTAGTTAGACACCAGAGGATACATACCGGAGAGAAGCCCTATCAGTGCCAGGAATGTGGGACTGGCTTCGGCTGTAGCTCTGCATACATCACACATCAGAGAACCCACACTGGGGAGAAGCCTTATGAGTGTGGTGACTGTGGGAAAGCTTTCAATGTTAATGCGAAGCTAATTCAGCATCAGAGAATTCACACTGGAGAGAAACCTTACGAGTGTGATGTGTGTGGGAAAGGCTTCAGGTGTAGCACTCAGCTAAGGCAGCATCAGAGTATACATACTGGAGAAAAACCACATCGGTGTAGCGAATGCGGAAAAGGCTTCACGAAAAATGCAAAACTCATTCAGCATCAAAGAGTCCACACAGGTGAGAAACCCTATGAGTGCAGCGAATGTGGGAAGACTTTTAGTGCCAAAGGGAAGTTAATCCAGCACCAGAGAATCCACACAGGCGAGAGACCTTATGAATGTAATGAATGTGGGAAATCTTTTCGGTGTAACTCCCAGCTTCGGCAGCATCTGAGAATCCACACTGGGGAGAAGCCATATAAGTGCAGTGAGTGTGGAAAGGCCTTCAACGTTAATGCGAAACTAATGCAGCATCGGAGAACTCACACAGGGGAAAAACCTTTTGAATGTAATGAATGTGGAAAGTGCTTTACTTCTAAAAGAAACCTCCTTGATCATCAGCGGACCCATACTGGAGAAAAGCCATTTCAATGTAAGGAATGTGGGAAAGCTTTCAGTATCAATGCCAAGTTAACGAGACATCAACAAATACATACTAGGGAGAAACCTTTCAAGTGTATGGAATGCGGGAAAGCATTCAGCTGTAGTTCTGACTATATTGTGCACCAGAGAATCCACACTGGAGAGAAACCCTTTCAATGTAGTGAGTGTGGGAAAGCCTTCCATGTCAATGCTCATTTAATTAGACACCAGAGAAGCCATACTGGGGAAAAACCTTTCCGATGTGTTGAGTGCGGCAAAGGCTTCAGCCTTAGTTCTGACTGTATTATACACCAGACTGTGCATACTTGGAAGAAGCCCTATGTGTGTAGTATATGTGGAAAAACTTTCAGATTTAGCTTCCAACTTAGTCAGCACCAAGCTGTTCATAGTGGAGAAAAAGCCTAACAGATGAAGAAAACAACAAACAAAAAATGCTATGTTTAATAGGAAATAGATCATGACTCATCAATTATTACTCAGAAGAAAACCACCACCAGAGGGAATGAATATGGCAGTCTTCATTTAGAAACAATGTTTTTGTTTTACTCTATTTTTAATCAAGATTAGATGAGCAACTGGAAAGTTGTATCTAAAATAACTTAGTCAGGCAATATAATGAAAGAAAACATTCTATCCCCGGCAGCATCAGGACAAGTAGATTTTCTAGGAATAATTATTTTGTGGGACTAAAGAAAATTAAGGATTCTCCACTGAGGGAAACCAAAGGAAAAGGGATGGAGAGAAATTAAGTTATTTCTGTTTAGTTTTTGACAACAAGAGTACATTACATTTCCTGAAAAGGGGGGAGATATTTAAAAAATTGTTTGATACAAGTCTAAAAATATCAGATCCAGGGACTGGAGAGATGGCTCAGTGGTTAAGAGCACTGGCTATTCTTCCAGAGGTCCTGAGTTCAATCCCCAGCAGCCATATGGTGGCTCACAAGCATCTGTAATAGGATCTGATGACCTCCTGGCATGCAGGTATACATGCGGAGCACTCATACATAAAAAAAATAAATAAAGTTAAAAATATTTTTAGAAATCAGATCCAAAGTAGAGATGAACTATAAGGAAAATGTTGGCAAATGACTCATTGAAAAATAAACCTGTGTGTTCTGTCGTTAATAATTCCAAATAAGTTTGAAATGTAAAGCATACACACAAAAATGGAAATACCATTGTAAAATTTGTGATATAAAGTGTAATATATAGTATCCAGATTTTACAAAAGATAACTTACAAATCAACAGTGACATTAACAGGCAACGCTTCAAAATCACAAGCATTCGAAAAAGTGTTCCACCTTAGTCATACTCCAAGGAGTGAAAATTAGTGAGGACATTTTTGCATGTCACATTGAGCATATGATATGCATATCCCCCAATACTATGCAGCCCTCAGTAATTATAGATGCTATATTTGCTATAGATGCCTGCCATACAAGCATAAAATATATTTAACAAAATAGCACATTAGAGCTCCTATTTTGTAGTGTCTGAACTCTTCAAACATGGCTATGTCCTGAAGGAATGTGTCTGCCTTGGATTTCAACTCTGTGATGTCTTGGGTTCCATGAAAATGTTGGAATTCTCAAGCTACTCTGTGAAGTCTCTCACCCACTTTAAAGAAATCTAAGTCAGTCATTGGTAAGATCATGTAAGCTGCCAAGAAGCTGAGAAACAGCAGTTATATATTTCTGCTGTGTTGTCAGCTGTTAATGGGTAGTAAGGGAAATGTTTTTCTACTCAGAACAACTCTACTACCAAATATTCAGGTTTCTATACCAGTTCAGTTGTCTGCAGACACCAACTAGATGCCCTCCAACTTCTATCAGTTTGGATACTACCCATAATAAACATCCTACTGGTGAAATTGGCTCAGTCTGGGAAGACTGCCTCACCCCCTCCCCCCATCTTCAGACACTAGTGATGAGTCCTACATTTCTGATTTGGCTACAAATTGAACCCTTCTGAGTTCAGTAATTTGCTGCAGTATCTCACGGAACCTAGAGAGACAATTTACAGCTACGATTACTCTAGAGACTATTGTGAATGTCACATGAACAGCCACATGAAGAGATACTTAGAGCAAGGGCCACAGGGTTCCCATGTGCAGGTGCTTTTGCCCTCCATGGAGTTGGTTCACATCTCCCTATGTCTGTTGGGATGTTTGGTGGTTGTCTGTCTCTAGGTCAGCAGTAAGCAGGATAAAATGGAAACTTGGCACCTTGAAAGCTATCAATTCTATGAACACAAGCATTAGGCAACCCAGAGAACTGGTGTTTTTCTTCCATACAGCAGTTCTTTGCAAGACATCTTCATTGAAACGTGCAAGGGCTAGTGAGATGGCTCAGCAGGTAAAGGCCCAAGTCCAGTCTCTAGAACCCATATGGTAGAAAGAGCAGAACTCACACAAGTTTCTCTGGTCTCTGTGCGTGCATGAAAATAATCAAATTTTAAAACTAGAATACCCATATAATAAAATTAAGCATTCTGATCCTTTTGAAGTGTGCAATTTGTCTTTCCAAATAAATCTAGTAAATTGAAAAATTGTTGAAGCTTGTTTTCTGTAATATAAGAGAATATGTCTAGTTAAATCAGGGCTTTTTTTTTTTTTTTTGAGACAATTAGCATGAGGAAGTACCTGGGTTTAAATACCAGAGGGTTTGGGGAAAAAAACCAGGTTCTAGTGGGATACTTACTCCTTAGTCTGGACATAAGATTATAAGAAAATAAAGATGACATTCCAAATACTCTTAAAATATAAGGCTGAGGTAAAACAGATTTTAGATAGCAGTGCAGACCTGGCCTTCACTGAGCTGAAGTAGAATATAGCCTAGCAGGTTTTAGAGACTTGGGATTGGGAGCACTTTTCTACAGGGAAGAGAACAGTGGGAAAAGCAAGAGCTGACTTCTCTGGTCTCGCTGGTTTTCTTTTTTTTTTTTTATTGAGGAAGCGTAGTCCTAGTATTTCTTGCTTACACAGCACGGTAAAAATGTACTTTGTGCAGGATGGTGGTGGCACATTCATTTAATCCCAGCACTTGGGAGGCAGAAGCAAGCAGCTCTCTGTGAGTTTGAGGCCATCCTGGTCTACAGAGCAAATTCCAGGACAGCCAGGGCTACACAGAGAAACCCTGTCTTAAAAAACAAACAAGAATGTACTTTGTAAAATTACTGTGGGGAAGAGCCGAAGTCTGAGTAGTGGTGCAACATCTAATATCTCAGGTGACAAATGTCTTAGACCTAGTCTCGGTTCGAATTGGCGTAAAAGAAAATCCAATTTGATAGTACAGTACGGCACCATGAATACATCTTTGTGTAGCATGAAGTGGGGGCAGACAGTTTTTTCGTTTTGTTTTTTAAGACAGGGTTTCTCTGGCCCCAAACTCAGAGAGATCCACCTGCCTCTGCCTCCCGAGTGCTGGGATTAAAGGCGTGCCCCACCACCGCCCATCACAGCATTCTTAACAGGTTCCCTTGTTTGTGTGTGGATCTTTCCAAAGGAATTCATGCTATACTCAGTGTCTTAGGTACTGTTTTATTGCTGTGAGGAGACACCATGGCCAAGGTAACTCATTTTTTATTTGCTCTTTAGCATTTAATCGATAGCTTGCTTACAGTTTTAGAGAGTTAGTCCATTATGATGGGGAGTGTGGCAGCATGCAGGCAGGTATGGTGCTGGTCAAGTAACAGAGCATTGCATCCTGATCGCAGGCAGCAGCCGACAGACACCGGGCCTGGAATGGGTTCTGAAACCTCAAAGTCCATCCCCAGTGACACACTTCCTAGCTTCCTATAACAAGGGCATGTCTCCTAATCCTTCTCAAACAGCTCGCCAACTATGGACTAAGCATGCAAATGTATGAGCCTATGAGGCCCATTTTCATTCAAATCAGGATTCTCAGTGATAGAAATTTTGTGGCATGTGCCTTTGGTAGCCTGTTTAAATGGAGTAGAGAGCCCTTGGGATAAGATCTCATACTGCAGAAAGGCTGAGCCTGGTGCTGTAATCTGGACACCAGCAGAATACAACAGTCATTGTGGAGTAGAGTAGGTTTGTGAGTCTACATGTGACCCCTGCCTGGGGTGGGGGGCACCAGATACTATTGTGAAGAGTTCTGGAGACTCCATGATTGTCATGTGGATTTCTGTTCTGCCAGCACTGGAGAAACCAGGGGTCCTGGGAAATGTCCATCATGCCTTGCTGGACTGACTTCCTATCTTTGTGGAAGAATGGTCCTCTGCAGTTCTGAGAAGACACAGGGGATGTGCTGTAGGTACAAGTCCCTCTCTGCCTCAATCCAGAGTCACCAAGGGCAGTGGTATCCCTCCTTAGCTTCTTCTGCCCCAAGTAAGTTACCTGGCCTGCTCATCTGAAAGGGAGAGTTCTGACAATAGGGAAGCTGTAACATAAACAGCCTATGGAGGAAGTTCCAGAACATTCAAATGCATATAGGGCAGGGGCTTCTTGGATCCTGTGGAAGGATCACATTTGAACATCCCCTGGGTAGGTCTGGGGACAAGTTTGCAGCTAAGCTCTGTAGGGGAGGAGAGCAGTGCCTTTCTTATCTACCCTCTGAGTGTCTCAGTGCTCTATGATGTAGGCTTGATAGGATCATCACCCCACTTCATTGAAACTGACACTTTGGCCTAGGAGCTTGGAGTCAACTATCGGGTAGACCCAGGTTTTAGGGCACCTGGGGGGCGGGGATATGAGCAAGTGCGTATGGCTCACCTCTGAGAGCAGACTGCATCTGCCCCATCAGCTGAGCATCCCCAAGAGGCAAACCCTTCTGAAGAGTGCAGATAACTGGGGACGATGCTGTCCCCTGGATTCTCATGAGGTTACAGGGGCCTGATGCTCAGGCCACACCTCCGTGTGCCTTACCTCCCCCTCTCTCTGTGAGCATCTCCTCTCTACCTGTGTTCATCCTCCTTCCTTACAGACCTCCCCCTCGTTCTCTCTCAGCCCTCCTTGCTACTTCTCTCCCATCGCAGCCCCTAGTGGTCTGAACTGTTTGCAGAGCTGACTCTGAGAGGGCCAGAGACTGGCGGGATAGGCATCTCATCTTCCTGAGCTCACACAGGGTTCTAAGCGGATGACATACTACTTTTTCTGGTGGCTTGTAGACTGTCCTGTATGCTGAGGGGTGGTATGGAAACTTCTTAGGGCCCACTAAGCCTGGACACTGTCCAGGTGTTTATTCCAGATACCTAGGGGTGTCTTTGTTCCAAGTCAGACCTCCTTTCTTCAGCAGCCCTTCTCTATTCTGTGACCTTCCACGTGAGGTCTTCTGATTCTTCCATTTTGAGATCTCATCTTAGTTATTGTTACTATCGCTGTGATGAAACCCTATGACCAAAAGCAACTTGGGGAAGGAAAGGGTCTATTCCATTTATACTTCCAGATCACAGCCCATCACTGAGGGATGTCGGGAAAGGAAACCAAGGAAGCATTCCAGAGACAGGAGCTGATGCAGAGGCCAGGGAGGAGTGCTGCTTACTGTCTTGTTCCTCATGACTTGCTCAACCTGCTTTCTTGTAGAACCCAGGACCATCAGCCCATGGGTGGCTCCACCCACAATACTTGGCTCCCCCACATCAACCACTAATTAAGAAAATGCCCTACAGACTTGCTTACAGCCTGACTATATGGAGGCATTTTCTCAATTGAGGCTCCCTCTTCTCAGATGCCTCTAGCTTGTGTCAAGTTGGCATAAAAACTAGCCAGGATAGATCTATGACAAAGCATCTGGTCAGGTTAGAGACTAAGTCCTGTTGGCCTCTTCTGGTTCAGGGCCCAACTGAGGATAGGATACCCAATTGAGTCCTTAGCTAGCTTTCTTTCAAACAGAGATAAAGCTGTGGACCCCCCCAACTCTATATGTCACCCCCAGTAGTCTCTCACACCCAGCCATTAGCCGTGCCCACGGTACCTAGTCAAGATCCTCTCTTCTGCCCCCACCCTGCTTGATCAGCTACCACCTATCTTGACTCCAGGCTCAAGCCAGGTGGGAGCGGCCTGCCCCCAGACACAGCTATTGGCTAACCCACTTCAAGATAGTTATTTGCTTTTGTTGATAGAGCACCCAAAGAATGCCCCCTTTGAAAGAGCCACAGTTCATCATTGTTGCACCGTCTTCAACTGAGTGTCCTTTGGGAGGCTACAAATAGTTCATGACTGTCCTCTGATAGATGGCCCAGACTCTCCATTGTGGAATAGAGGCTGTGCGAGGATGTGAGTCTAACTGGATCATCAGTCCCCAGCACTAAGGGCCTTCTCTGGACTCCTGGTACCCTGACCTGCCTACAGATGCACTCTTGCTCAATGCTTCCTGGGGCCTCTTCTGAAGCATGCCCAGGTAGGTGAGAGCAGGAAGGCCTGGGAGCCCAGGACAACTGAAGTAATTCACCAGTCTCTATCTGTCCCCACTAAGATGGGCTGTGGCAAAAAGACTGTAAGGGAATCAACCCAAGGGAAGGTAATAATGACACCTCACAACACTTAGGAAACAATACTTTTCTAGATCTCATACTGTGATTTGAGCCCTGCCTGATAGTAGCAAAGGCAGGGGCTGCATCCTGTCTCACATCTGTAAGAAAATTTCTCGGAACCACCATTAGCATCTATTTTATTCTTGAATAGTAGACGGACAGACATTCAGACGGAAATGGAGGAGGGCTGAGCCAGCAGAAAGACAAGTTTCTGAGAACATAAACACCAATAGATATCCATATCTAGCTGTAAAGAGAAGGTCAGAGGCAGATGACTGTTCTAGAAAGCAGAATGGTGGTTGTCACCAGGAACTGCCATTCTGTAGGCATTGTCTCAATCAGGCAGACTATACTTGTAGGGCTGTGAAAAGACAGCCTCAACTGATTCTAGACAGCTAGTCAAATCAAATTTATCCCCCCAGGAGACTCAGAGGACAGTTGGGGGAAATATTTAAAAACCCACAAGAGCATTGTTTCGCCTATACCCTGCTTTCTGGGTATCTTATTACTCTGCACACACTGAGGTTGGAAAAGTGTCTCCATATCTCCAGGCCCTATTTTATCATGGGCAAAATGGGGTGGCAGTAGGATCTGCTTCCCAAGTGTGGTGGTGAAGACTGATTAGTTTCTGCACGGTTGTGTGAGCACACAGATGTGTACATACGTGTGTGCTCACGCAAAGTCGAGCTTCCAAGTCTCTCTCCCATTGACACAAAGGTGTGCACAAAGACTCCGCCACTGACAGTGTCCTCCACATACACAGGCTCCCGGAAGCACTTATAACACATGCCACAGCCCCAAAGCATGCCTGCTCTGCTCTTACAGCTTTATCCACCAATATGGGCAGGAGTGCTGCCTTGAGTACTTCAAACAAGCCACCCCTAGCAACTGGTGACATGGTATAAGACCTTAGTGGAGTGCCTCAGGATGCCATTGTGTCATTTGACTCTTTCCTGGGAGCTGGCCATGGCCATGGATGGAGGCAAGCCTGCCCCGCCCCCATCATACCTTGGAGAAAGGAGCTGGACACTTCCTTCCCTTGGCCACTTGTG